TGTGATTTTTCGTAAAATTCAAGTGCTTTCGAGTAGTCACCCATGTTCTTATAGACTAAACCGATGTTGCTATAAGTAGGAGCTAATGAAGGATCATCTTTCGGAAGAGTTTTCTGCTTGATTTTCAGAGATTTTTCGTAAAATGCAACTGCTTCTTCGTATTGTCCTTGGTTTCGTTTCATCATTCCAAGCTGGTGATAGATGTATGCTCTATCCCTATCATCCGATGCCTGGTCCAGGAGTGCCATATATAGTTCTTCGGCCTTGTCGAATTGACCTATTTTGAATAATAATTGCCCCATTCGACGCCATCCGGTGCCGCTGACCTCTTTTCGTAGAAAGTCAGTTAATACACGAAGTTGTGGATCATCATCTGACGTAAGTTTAAGATCGACTTGGTAAAGTGCATGATTGTTGTCAATTTTTCGCACTTCACCAATACGAAAGACAGTGTGCATGGAGAAGAGAATTTCTTCTTCATTCTTGAAGTAACTTTCCTCTCGAATGGAAGCGAATGGAGTTGATGAAACTTTAGGATCAATGGTTATTTGGAATAGAATTCCAACCATGTCGGTTGTTCCTAAGGCTTGATTAGCGAAGTTGAGGGAGATTTCTCGATTTTTGCTGGTAGATAAAAAGTTGTTAAAAGAAATAAGCCCGCCTTTGTTTTTTGCGAGCTTTTCAAAATCTGCTTTCGATAGGCCTTGCCCTCGAAAGACATTGAAGATCTCTTCATGAGAGGGACTGACCTGTTGCTTGTGTAAATGTTCAATTTGTCGATGTACATCGCATAGAAAGAAGCCCATTCGGATCATAATGTCGCCGTTGAGTGTTCGTAATGCTCCATTGAGCATTTTGTACGTGAAGCACTCACGTGTATACCACCAAATAGCTTTTGATGCTTGATATGTACGTTGAAATTCATCAATAATTTTCATTTCATTATCATTATCGTGATATATTTCTTGGCAAAATGTAACTAAGTCTTTGATTGCTTGCTCGCTGTGTTCTATTTCAAGGAGAATTTCCTTGAATATTTGTGAATACATGAAGGTAGGTTCTAGCTGATTAACATTTTCAGTAGAACCTCCTTCATTCGCACCAATAATGCTTATAGACATGGTATTTTGGTTGCATTGGTTGACAGCCATTTTCAATGCATCACAAATGGGCTGTATTGAGGTATGTATACCTTTGATTTTTGCCCAATTTTGGGCCCATATTTGATGCCGTTGTTTATTGCCACAAAATATAAAAATGGCATTTAATTTTGCCATATCATGAATGTCCGGCACTAAATGTTGTCCAATTGCACCTGAGGAGATAACAAATGAGATCTCCTCTTGATTTTCTGTGAGCTGTTGTATGCATTGTTCAGCTGTCTCACATGGAGTAACTTGATTGACGACAGCACGTAATTGTTCCATTGTATTTTGGCAATCTTCATTTGCCATGTCGATATTTCCATCGACCCAGATGACCAAATAATTTTCGGCCATACGATGCCTTTGATATTGAGCCAGTTTTGATGCCATTTTTGCTGCTGGGTAAGTAATTTGTGTATTTTAAAGAATATATCGTTGTTTGAATAGTTATTACCTTTTCTATTTATTCATTCAATGTCTGCTATTTTTTTTTGTTGACACTCAAGGACGAACTCTACCTAGTTTCAGTTGAAAATATGGTTGTCAACAACAAACGAAAGAGAAAAAACCCACCAACATCATTATTTGTATTGTTATTCTTTCCAACTTTCGTTTGCTTTTCATCTACTTAACCACTTGAATATTTTCTTTCATACTGGCAAGAACGAAAAAAAATACAACATAGACATTGCCAGTTCGATTTGTTTTATTATGGTTATAATGCGAACATTGTGATAATGTAAACAAAATAAGAAAAAAAAAAGGTTTTATTTTTATTGAAGCAACATCCAAGCAACGACTGTTTTTTACTTTGTGAAATATAGTGCATCTTATTAATAATTATCATTTTGCTTGATTTCACAACGACATGTATTATTCCTCATTGGTTACTAAAGTGATTACGAGTTCCTTACTACGAATTCGAAATCATGAAACATTTAAGCACCTATTATCAACTCAAAAAAAAATTGAGTGAAGTATTTCAATAAGCATTCTTCGTATACTGGGTGTCCTGAACGAAAAAGATTTTTGTTATAAGTAAAAAGGTTTAGTAAGAGCGATTAAAACTATTATTGTTTAATTAAGAGAAAAAAGTTTACAGTTTCTGCCAAAGATAAATGATATATTTTCAGTTTCCATAACATGATTCGAATCTTTCATATTCTTAAATTTTCTCAATTCGTTAAAGATGATTTTACTTGCAATATTTATCTTTCTGATGTTTTTACACAAGAAACTATTCAAGATACAGATCAACTAAAGTTAACTTTTAATTGAGTATTTCCATGAGTAGTCAGTCAGAAAATCAAAGCGGTATGTAAAAACTCTTTGTATATTTCATTGATAGAGCTATTTAGATAAACAAGCTGTATAAAATGATATCTTAACAAATTTTTAGATATTTTTGTGTTCTTTATTGTTGTCGACTTATGGGTTTAATTGCTAAAAAACGGCCAACTCTGTCTTAAAGTTAACTGTGCTAGATTTCAAGCGTACCAATAAGTTCCTGATTTATGAATAGAAAGCTGGAATTTGTTTTCATGATCAAAAAAAATTAGTTCCTATGGTCCAAATATAATGTAGATATATCATTGAGAAGGTAGTCACCCGATAACGTAGGTGTAGGTGTTGGTTAAGAAAAAAATCACACCCTCAACACCAACACTCATACCCACCCACATTAATTTGACATGTCCAAAGCTGATAAAATCCCTAAGACTATGTAGCCCACGAAAAGTTTTGTTTGACTTCATCAAAATAAAAAAAAAAACAAAATAAGTAGAAAGAAACGCGCACAGTTTCATACATTAATTCTCTATTCTATTGAAAACTAGATCTAAGGTCATGGCAGATTTATGATTCTAATCCGATAGTGTTCTTTGCTACAGAAAGCCACACAAACTTTGATCGATAAGATAACGTAATAATTTAAGAGTTGTCTAATTGCATCTATATTCATAAATTCTTTCTCACTTATTAAAATTATAAGTGAGAAAGAATTTATAGTTTATTATTGTATGTTGGTGCCATACGTGAATATAAAATTTACATTCGAACTCGTATTAGACAAGTATTGCTATGCTCATGATGTTTTTTTGAGTGTGACCAATGTCATCATGAAGTTAAATAAGCGGGTCTCACAGAATGAATATAATATCATTCAGAATTTCACTGACATGATGCTCGTTTTATTTTGTTTTCTTTTTTGTAATTTTGTTGCAAGGCATATTAGTACAAATTAGTAGAGATATTTAGGATACGAATCTTTCTTTCTGTATTCAAAAGTAGCAACTAATCACATGCCTTCAGACAAACACAAAAGTTTGTTCCTCGAATAAAAAATATATTTGCCGTAACGCTGATTTCATCATTCTCTTGCGTTTCTTCTGAAAATACAATTGAAACAAACAAGAAAGGTCAACAAAAAAAAAAGTACATTAACAACGAATGAGCCAACAAAACAAAAATACACAAAAAGCAATTTTTATTATCTTTCGATGTTGTTAATGTTTCATCAAGAGCATTTTGTCACATGTTTGAGTCATTTAATGTTGCGAAGATCTAGAGACTAAGTATGATAAGCATCATATTGAATATATCGTTAAAATCGAATGAATTCTTCATTATTTTGGTGTGACCAGAACATTTACAAATTTTTTATGATGTAAACAAAGACATTACAGAAGTTTTCTTACCGAGTTTTAATTCAACGTAAATGAATATTTTATACAATTTCATTGACACCGACTGAAATATTCTACTGTGTTGAATTATATGTGTGAAATTTGGGTGTTTTAGTCGTTGACACTCAGCAACAAATTTTACTTAGTTTCCATTTGAAATACGGTGTTATAATCTATACAATGATACTTAACTGTCATTGCATTGGATACCTTGTCTAATACATTATTGATTTTTCTTTGATTCTCTCAGAACGTTTTTTTTTCTCTTTCGGGCAAAAATGAAAAAAAAGCGACGAAGACACCGTCAGTTCAATTTCTTTTCCTTGTGATGATATGAATGAAACAGCTAGAAAAATGAATTCAATGTTGATTGTAGCAATAATCGAGTAACCATTTTTATCCTTGTCAAGTGTTCTATATATCATTAACTAGTGATACGCCTAGAGAAAAACTGTTCACATTACACTGAACCTTCTGCGATATACATTGTGTTCTATAGTTGTTCGAATAATTATAACATTGAGAAAATTTCTGTCCTATGCATACGTCCATCACTAGAAATATGTTTATAATAAAAATAAATAATGAAAAGTATACTAAGTATTTTTTTTAATACTAAAATGAACAGTAATATTCAAGGCATGAGTAAAAAAAACTTTCGTCGTTGTAGTGCATGTCATACGTCTTTGCACTAACACACAAGTTTTTGTCCGGCTTGTTCTGAAAATGTTACTAAGACAAACAAGAAAGATCAACAACGAAAGAGGCAACGAAACAAAAATATTAAATTGACGCAGTTTTATTATTGTTGCCATTGATGATTTCTTTTTCTTCTTCCGTTCATGTTTGCATAGTGAGTGTCACTATGAAGATAGAATATGTAAACAAAGAGCTACAGAAAAAAAAGGAATATGGCATTTTCTTCATTTTTTTCTTTCGTTCGATGTGTTGGCAACTCAATAAGAGTTTTTTGCTTCTGTATTGACGAGTTTGAATCAATAAAAATGCATTAAAATCAATTCAGCACTATTGATCATATTACATTGATTTCTTTTTTCCATGGCCATCAATTCACAAGCATCTTTTGTCGCGGCAATCTATAGACTATGTATGATTACCAATATATTGAAGAGATCGTTAAAATTGAACGAATGTTTAAGAATCGATTTTCTAGGACTTTCAATTGTTTTCCGGTGTGATACGAATGTCTATTATTTTTTTTCATAATGTAAATAGAGGTTTTCTTGAAATTTTTCTTAGCTTGCGAAAATATTTACACTGGACAATGACGACAATCATGATGAAGAATTTTCTTATAATCGACGATTAAATTAACGATAATGGAGCTGACTTGCTTGCATCTTTTTATCGACGTATGCTGATACTCTCAAACATTAGCAGCGTAGAATCTGGAAAAAGACTTCATCGATGATCAATATTGACTTATTGGTTACGATGAAATGCAGAAAAACAAAATCGTCAACTGCACAAAAATCAGTAAAAATAAAGTCATAGAAGACATCTTATTCAGTTATTTTGTTGAAAATTCAAAGGCAATGAGATTGCCAACATAGGATATTATGACAGAAATCTTCATCATAACCAAGAATAGTAATGCATCGAAAGTATCGATAAAGAAAATTTTTCATCCTTGCTAAGCAAAGAGCTGGAAATAATAGAATGTGTGATGAAAAAATATTTAGAAATAGGAAGAACATTCGTCACTAACATACGTAAGTGAAACTGTCACATAAAATCATTTGAAAATGAGACATGAATGGTGTCAATGCTAGATAATCAGATAATCGAAAAGGATACGTATGCGGTAAAATCAATCCGCAAGAATGATAACTATTGAACATTTGTAAAGATTATACTTTCTCCACCATAAATACCGTTTTGTGTGATAAACTCATGGATAAGAATAGCGTGAACAACATAATGTTTACACTATTACTGATTTGTACCTTAGGTCTTTTACAGATGAACGTATAAAAGCAAAAACCAACAGTGTCACACGTTCACGACACTGACGATAAACAAAAGTACTTATCAAACAGACTGTTTAATTATAACGTACCTATAAGATGCATGTTCCATTTGATTCGTATGCTCAAAATTGAAAAGAAAAGAATTTCTCATGAGAGGTATGACGGAAGATTGAGATGCGTAAGATGTTGCTTGTTCTGTAGAGATCTACTTTATGATAGGGCATCTTCTGTTGGAGATGCCAGGATGGACTTGATGTAGTTGTAATAATAGAATAGTTGCCTAATAGATACCCTCGCAAATTGTGCAGCTCTTTTGAATAGAAAAAAGACATATTACACGAATATTAAAGCGATCAACAAAGATTAATATTTAATACAAAATAAATCAAACATATGGAAATCTTGGTTGACGACACAGTACTGTAAAAGTAGTCTTTACCTTTCAAATACAAACAATAACACATTGTACACGATAGTTTGCACTACAATTATATCAGTTGAAATATTGGTTTATATTGAATGATATGTTTGAAATTTACATACGAGGGTACAAAAGTTGCAAAGACAAACATCATACTCTATAGTTGCTGTCTTATGTTTTTTCTTTTAGATTTTTTTTACGACGTTAAATGTGGTTGGTTTTTACCAACAACGTCATTTATTCTATTATTATTCTTTTCAATTCTGCTGCTTGTGACGGACATGTTGATAATGT